ACGATATCTGCCTTATTGGCCTTCCCCCTAATCTTTATTCAAAGGCACTCAACTTCATCATCACTATCGTTAAGTTCAAGGCACTCAAAACACTCTCTAACATATAAAGCCACTAAAGCTTATGAAAGTGTGTTCAGCCCCATATTATGATATAAATAAAATTTCAAAACATTTATTGAAACACCATCAGACATTTAATATCACTTTTGGGAAGAAACAACAACAACAAACCAAACCTCTTCAGCTACTATGATACCTTCCTAGACAAATCCATTGTGCCCTTACCTAGAAAGCTCCTTCTCTTGTCGCTGAAGTTCAGATGTAAGCAACGTATTTTCCTTCCTTAGTGTAACACATTCAGCTTCCAGAGCACTCCATTCTGCCTTCAACTTTTCAAGTTCACCTGCAATGAATAAAATGTAATTGAATTGAGTAATATTATTTCATGACTGCTTCAAGTATCACCAGCTAATAAATGCAGGAAAAGCTGATATCAGTTGTAAATCTCAAATATACTTGATTATAATCATGTCACAGGAATTCTCTCACAAGCACCTATAAAACATTACAATATCTTCTACTGTTAGAAGGTTTGTGAGCCATTAAACAAGCTAGTGCTTTTTTTTTATGCAAGCTCTTTCTAAGGTACAAAGAAGTAGAAAACAGTCTGTTTATGGGTCTACTCTAGTATTTTAGAAACAGTGACAGAAAAGTGTATTCGAAGAAAATAATTGCCCAGACTTGAAAACAGCAAACAACTTGAATCACTAGATACTTTGCCTCTGTGACAAGGAACATACTATTCAAAGTAGTAATCAGAGAGTGAAAATGAGACCTTTGAAATAAATCAGTCCCTGGTAAAACAGATAAAAATCAGTGTTACACATGTCTTAGTAATACAATGACAGAGACTGGAGTCTGAACTGGAAAAAGGCTTCTCTGACAACTTCACAAAGATTAACAAATTCAGCACTTAAAGCATATTTTACATATGGCAGTTTCTCTGTGGCACGTACAAAGTTTCAGCATGAGCTTCTGAACTCTGTCAGCAGATTCTCCAAGACTTGAACCTATAGGCCTGGAGCAGTTGCTCTCAACCAGTCCTCATGAGATGTGGGTGCATTACAGGCAAAGTGAAACACAAACAAATGAGCCTAGAAGCAGCCCTATGCTGGCTCAGCACAACATATTTGTATCTCTCTCCATTATGCATCCAAAATAAAGCTTTAATTTCAATTTGTTTTAACATTTTTATGTTAAAAATCAGATGGTATCAACAGTTCTATTAAGCCACATAATACAGTTATTTGTCTCGAGAGAGGCTTTGCTAGAAACATTAAAAGGTCAGAAGCTATGCATTTACACAGAAGTTACACAAGTCTTTTTGCGAAATCTGCGGCAGTATCAGTCCCTCAAACAGTACAAGTTTTCCATCTTTTATAAGTGGAATTATACTTTGTCTACTCTTGATATCAAAGGGTACCTAAGCTAATTTAGGCATAATTGACAATTACTATTTAATGAAGTATACAGAACAGCTTTTGCAACACTACAAGCCTTGATACACATATATAAATACACGCCTGTGTATACACATTGACACAGTAAGTGACTACAGAGAAACAGACAAATAGTGATTTGAATAACTGACATTCATCAGATTGAGAAGGATGCTACTGCTAGCACTGGTCTGCGACATCCTTTTAAACAAGTACCTTTTAAGCGAGTAACCTCTTCCTTCTGCTGATCCTCACACTGCTGGCATTTGAGCTGAAAGCTGGCTTGCAGACTGACAATTTCTTTTTCATAATCTGAGGCATCTTTCCGCCACCGATCAAGTTCCGCTTGCACTGTTTGCAGCTCATCTTGCAATGCAGAAATATCTGTATCTCGTTCTGATGCTACCTTTTCTGCCACTTGTTGAAGTGACAATATCTCATTTTGAGCACTGACTAGTTCATTTCGAGTGCTTGAAATTTCGTTCTCCTTTTCCTCACGAAGATTCTCAATATCTTCCTGTAACCTTCGCAACTGAGCTGGAAAGCATATGTTAATGTTAATATTTTTTAAAACCTTATTTACAGAAAATCTAAAAAACATAACTCTCTTTCTCAACTTGTTGATGTTTAATAGAACTAAACAATCCTAATGCAATTGAAAAAGATATTAATCTTGTCAAATGCTGTACCCTTAGAGACACATGTATGTGGAGGTCATGTACTGCAGAGAGTCAAAAGAAACAAGACTTATAGTTGGACAAAACTATAAAACTAAAAAAAAAAAGGCAACTCTCTGAAACTAAGATTTACATACAACTTCATTTTAAGCAAAACAAGGATTATAGAACAAGGACACTGGGGGGTTCAGGGACAAGGGGAAAAGCAATAAAGGTTCTGTGACAAGCCAAACAATTGCAAAGCTACATTGGAAACATTTGCCTGTTCAGCAGTTAACTTGTGATGTCTATAAATATTTGAAGCATCTAATTTCTACTCCAGTCTCAACATCTAGAAAAGGAAATAAAAATTACTTTACTTCTTTGCAAAAAGCATTTTTCAAAGCACAAGATGAATTTTGAATTGAAAGGGATAGCTGCATTGAACATACTGGATTATAAGTAGTCCTTTAGCATTTACAGCTTACTGTAAACGTGCAGCAGTCACAAATACGCTAGGCTATTTTACATTTCTGCATGAAGTAAACCTTATAAACTATTCCCATTCAAAACTGTTTCATTACTAAACACATCTCTTCTCTGAGCACAGCTATTTTTTATAAACATGCATGCAAATAGAATCCAGTGCACACAGTTGAAAAAACCAAAAAGTACAGTACAGAGGAAAGGGAAGTATGAAAGAAAGAATAACAAAGTTACAGTTAAAACCCTGGCTGATGGAAGGGTTTAATCTGCCCAGTGGTTTTGTTTTGCTTATTTAAAGAACACATATCAGAGTTCACATGTATTTCATTGATTTTTAACATGGGAAAAAGCAATCATTAAATTAATGAACAATTGCTCTGAGAAAAGTGCAAATTTCTTAACATCACTTGAAAATCTAATATAAGATACTGTAGAGGGTCAGAATGACACATTTAAAGTTACATGCTTCAAAAGCAAAGGGCAAAGAGAGCACAGTGGAAAATATGGGGAAGATAACCAAGGCTGAGTAACTTTCACAGATTACTTGGATTGAGAGAACAAAAATAAATACATTACAGAAGATGACACAGAGAATGTGAGCGAGTCTTGCTGTAAACTGATATAGCAGAAAAACTACTTGAGAGACTTGCGCTTTCATGACAACTTATTTGATGTTTTTCAGTAGCTACATATACAGTAATATAGGTAGAATTCATATACAGGTACTATCTAGAAACTTCGCTGTTAGTTGATGTACAGTGAAGAAGAAAAATGCAACTTCTTTTCCCCTCCTCTAAATAGGATCCAGCAAAAAATTTAGCTTATTAGACAAACTAAAGAACCTATGAATTACCCAATTCCACACTCTGGAGGAAAAAAACAGTAGGGGGAAAAAAATATGATAGTTATTATATATTGTAATATATAAGAGAGATTACAGACAACAGTAAGTTAGATTTCACAGCAATTCTGTAGTAGATGAAACCGTCCATCTGTTACATAACAAAGACATTTACAGTGTGATGGATTTTTAAATATATGTGAACAACGTGAGGCATACCACCACCTCATTTGTTTCGAAATAGTTTCTACAGGCTTATACTAATAAAATAGCAAACAAAGTAGTAGATGAGAACAACTTGACAGTAATACAACACATTACATATTAACACTTGCCTTTCCATGTATCCTTACATTAGAAGCCTTGAACCTACCAAACCAGTATGTTGGAAACCACATTTCTAAAACACCAAGAACTACAACTTGCTAACACAGCAGGTGCCCATTAATGAGCAAAGGCACGATTTTTTCAAACCATATCTTCCTAATGTTATTTTCTTTATCAAGCCAAGCTAAATTCCTGCTTCTCGATAATGGCAGTATTTCAAAGAAATTTGGGTTTTTTCCTTCTGTCTGCATTGTTGATGAACAACTTGCCCTTTAAATGTTCAGGCACAAAAACAAGCATGCTATGACTGAAAATCCAAACGCATACAAGCGTTTCTAAAGTTTGGTGGAGCTGAAGAAATAACTTACACAGGAAAATTACTACCAAGAATACTGGAATGATTTCTGAAGCACTGGATGTAATTTGAAAGGGCAATTAGGAAGAAAGGGTCCATTACATCTCTTATGTAAGCCATTACCTCATCTAAACTAAACGCTTCACTTTTTTTTTTTTAAATAAGTAATGACAAGTTACTTGAATTTCCTTGCTTTACTCATCTGTTCACGTAAAGAACTTCACATGTAGAGACAAGATTCCAGTTGTTCTTGTGGCATTTTCTCTTCTCTATGACAAACATATAAAGCCATGTAGCGCTGGCTGGCCTTAAACATTGATTCATGAAAATACTTCAAGAAATGTTAGTGCATGAAGCTGGCAGGATTTTTTTTCTCCACTACAGTCCACAGCAGCTGCCAAGAGAGAATCCTAACAACTTTTCTCAAGTTGTGAGTCTGTTACACCCTAAAAGTCTGGGAAGCAGCAAGCATACAACGAACATCAGAACAATGTGAACTACAATGGAGAGAGAAGAGGCGGAAACATTAGCAAGACCTCACTTGAGAAGGGTTCAGGAAACAAAAAAGTACTGAACTGACAAGAGACATCTTGCAGTTAAGTTTGGCTCTGTCAAGCTTCTACTTTGAGTCTCTTTTTTTGAGAGGAAAAAAAAATAAATCTTTTTTTCTGCATAGAAATGACTATCAAATTCTAATTTCTAAGTTTTGCTACAGCATTTTTTGCTTGGACAATTTTCATTATTAGCAGCGTAAGACTCAAAATTAAATTGCTCCTCTTGTTCCGAAGATGAGTATTATATAACCTCCTCTTTCTTACAGGAGCAATGGCAGAAAACACAAATATTCTTTGCTGACATTCATATATAACAGAGCTATTATATAAGCTTCTCTAAGTGTAACTGGTATATGACAAGTACCACATTCCACAACAAACTACTGCCCATAAAGTAATGTGCTAAAGCTATTTTGATTTCCTAAGCAAGTGAGGACTGTCAGTCCATCTGCCTGTCTGCTCATCTGCCTTCCAACCATTGTTTGGGTCCAAACCAAATGATACACTGACAAAGATCCCAAGGTATGAAGCTCCTACAAGTTTCAAAACAATCAACAGCTGAGTAGATGTTCAAACTAATGCTTGCTCTAAGGAAGTCACAATATAACCCTTATTGATTTTACGGCTGGACAGCCTCTTGACCAATGAGCTCAGTCACATGCACAGGCTGACAAGTTAACGTGATACAGAATACACGACACAGAAGTTATGCAAGTCATGGGATTCCATTCTGCTATAATTATTTTGGACTGAAAAGAGCATGATTGGTCATACTGTTTTTTTTCTTCCAAAGAGCTTAGACAGTGTTTCTGTAGCAGAAATTTTACTGCATGCTCTCAGGTTGGATGTAGATCTGGATTAAAAATTTCTGTAAGAGGATCCTACCAATGAAGTGAAGAGACCGAGTAGCACAAAAAAAGACTAAACCTTCTGAGTGCTCTGAAGACAAAATAGTCACAGTAAGAATCCCTGGATCATTCAAAGCTGAGAAAGACTGAAGAGAGAAGAAGGAGAAGAGGTATCTGTTACATTACATCTTTTTGCATTTTCTAAGTTATGATTAGAACATTAGGAATTGACAGGAAACATTTCACAATAACATTCAAAGATATGGTGAAAGAAATCAGATTTAAAACATACACTCAATTAACATTTTCCTTTCTAAGTGCTTATGATACCATGGAAACAGCCAAAGCCATACATTTTCCCTAAAGGGTGGAGTGAAAAAAATTAATTCCTACCTTGCAGAACACTTATTTGCTTGTTAGATTCTTCAACTTGCACTCGATACGCTTTTCTCTCTTCTTCCAATAGCGCTATAAATGAAAGTGAAAATGTGCCCAAAAGTTTTTGTTAGTAAGAAGTATTTCAGCTGTGTAATTAGTTTTAGTCACAATTTCCCCTCAACTGAAAAGATTAAAACAATCAGTAAGTTATCAAAGCTAATAACTGTGTAAGTAGTTTATTAAAAAGTTAATATTAAGACATCATTCCATTATTGTGGTAGTATTACAATTAATTTGAAATTAATATAATCTGTTGCCTGATCCAAAACCTCCATGTGTGCTAAATGCAAACTGGTGTGGGAGGAGAAGAAAAAAAAAGCTGTAAATATACCCCATAAAGAACACTCAACAATATGCCATTAAACTGGACTCTACTAATTTCCTGTCAAAAACAACCCATAGTTTTGCTGAGGATAATGATACAGCTACCTATCTGGTAGGGTGAGCTAAACAAAGAACTACTACTGAATACATTAAATTATGTGCATTATCTGACTGAAATACAAATTAATCAGTATCGGAAGACTAATTTATTTTATAAGGATGAAATATATGGAGTTCAAGTATGTATACAATACTATGAAAATATGTTGGTTTGTCTTGAACCAAAAAGTCAGAGCTCAGTTGGACTGTATATAGAGTTTCGGGGAAAAAAAGCAAGTTTCTGACATTCTGTGCAGGACATGTGAATGCTATGAAACAAATTGATCTAACAGACAGTCAGCAAAACTGGACCCCCTTTTAAGACTACCTGATAAATACAATTTTAATGGACACCCTACACAACCAAGTTGATCTGGGTCTCACCTTGAAGTTCAAAGCATTTTTGATTACTTGTCCTAGCTAGCTCTTGGGCTTCAATCAGCTCCTTGTGCAGTTGCTGAATTTCTTGCTTAGCCTCAGTCTCTGATTGTGCACCCTGCAATTCATCTGATAAAAAAACATTTTCTTTAAATCATAAATTTGTACAACAATTTAATTTGCACTGCCAATGTGATGACTGGTGACTTTTTACTCAAACCATCTGACATTAAAGTAAACTCAAAATTAGATTAGGTAAATATTAGCAAAAATATTAATATACTTTTAAAAGGAGGAAAACATATGCAAACTTTAAAACATTCATTATATATAACATGCAGTATAAAACAAAAAACAGCAAACAAGAATTACAGAGTTTTTAAAAACACTACAGATTGGCAAGGATTCCTGGATTGACAAAAATAAGGAACAAGAAGCATAAGACAATCCTTGACGGAGTTTTCAACTTGTCTGTTTTTAAAAGGAAGCTACTCTAACCCTCTCTCCTAGCACACACCTATCAGCAACAACGCTGCGCCCCTGACCTCCCAAGCCCGACCTCCCAAGCCCACCCTCCCACAGCCCTGCTCCTAACAGCCAGTACCAGCCCTGGCAGGCCACAGGCCAGCACAGGTACGGGCCCAGCCCTGCACCGACCCTGGCTGATGCCCGTCAGCTGCAAGAGATTATGCAAAGAGTTGCTATTAAGTGGTTTGCTATTGCCAGTCGGCTTGCTACCACACAAGGCTTGGCTTCCCCCTCTCCCTCCCCGAACCATCACTGCAAGGAAAGGAAAAATTTAGGGAATTTTTTTAAAACAAAATTAAGAAAATTAAAGTCCACGCTCCTTATTTCACCCAGTGGCCTAAAGAATATAAAGCTAGATTTTGCCCTTAAAAGTTTTTTCAATATGTCTTAAAATATTAGGTATATCTTTAACATGATCAGATATCTATGCATGTTACTTAAACTCTAAATAAAAACATTTGTTCTTCATCACAAGTTTTGTATTAGCTTAAAATGCATATTAAATACCTCTTGGGCTTACATAGGACAACTTGCAGTCACAGACAAATTAAATACTTTCAAAGATGAAGTTTTGAGGGAATTTTGAGAAAAAAAATAAGTATTTGTAACTAATAAGAGTGTCCTCTAATGGGCACACACATGAAACTAGATGTAGTAACAAAGAGGAAGACAACGCTCTAGCCTGCACACATCTGCAATGCCAGGAACTGGCTCCAGGAAACTCTCATTCGCTAAATTTTCCTGAAGGAGTGTCTGTGCAGAAATAGATCTTTCAAATGGCACAAACAGCACTAATAAACTATATAGGTAGAGGGCTAAAACTTTATATAAAGCCTGTTAGGTAAGAAAGGTAAAGGAGGGAAATCAGTGAAAAAAATCCAGCTGTGCATCATGGGAGAGGGAGAACAAAAAGGTCAATGTGTTACACTGCTAACTGGTTAATAAACATCTACCACTATAGACCATATAGATTTAAGATAAAAGACACACTGCTTAGAATAAAAACCCCAAAAGATAAATTACTTTGGTTGTCTGGATCTTTCACTAAGAAGAAAAAAATAAATACAAGCTATAGTTTAGTTCATCATTATACTTTTGATATTCATATTTCACTGTGTATGTCACCAATAAAGTAACTATAAACATTTTTTCTATTTTCTTAATTTAAAAAACTGTTTATCAAATCATGCTGAAGTATTCATACTGTATCCCTCAAAGAAAATAGGCTATGCTTCTCCTGTTCTCACAGTAATGAACTGGTGGGATCAAGTAGAGCTGAAGGCACACAATTTCAGAACAAAATTATGAGAGCAGAAAGAACAAATAGGACTACATATTTCATCCAAATACTTTCTTTTTTAGTTTATTAGAGTTCCAAATCCACGTTTCTCTTTACTGAGAATGTTTTGTTCTTAGCTTCTCATGGATAAAGACTTGGGTCAATTAGGCTTTCAACTCTCCTTAATGAGACTGTTCAGAAGAAATGGATGAGGAAGTTGACAAATTATGCTCAAATCCTGCCTGATAAAGAAGCAGTGTCCCAAATCCAATGACAGACATCCTAAATGAACTTTCTGGTGGACAGTATTTTTCCAATCAACGAAAGCACACATCATAAAAGATAATACTGCTTCAAAGGAGATGAGGAACTCGACTCATTGGACAAAATAATCAGTTTAGCAAAGGCACAATCAAGGTAAAAACTCCTTCCTACTCAAATGCAATAGCGGAATTTCCACATGCCTGACACACTTCTAAATCAGAAGCTAAGAAATATAAGTATGTGAAAATGATAGCTTTTCAGTCTTACTCAAACTGAAATTTTTTTTAATGGCTTTTAGTTCAAAGCAAATATAGTTTTTGTGCTAACTCTAGTGTTGAAAAGAATTCCTTAATAAGTAGGACTGCTTTATTTATAAATAATAAAACTACTAAATATCATCAGGTTTAGAATTAGTTCCCTGAAGAAGCAAATTCATATCACAAAAACCTGGTTTAAGAACCAATGTAAAAGACTGCAAGTAAAAAAAAGTATTTGACCAATTTCCAGAAGTATTCAGCATTGGACTAACTGTTCTCAGAGAAGTCCAAGGAATTCTATCATTAATTAGAACAAGGTGCCAAAAAAAGTCAAATAACAACAGTTTGAAAACCCTCATTCACTTATTCTAGCTCATGAAAAATTTTAATCTGTGCTCAGATTGTTCGCCATGTTACAAGAAACATTCTTAATTAACACCACTTTTTTTCCCCTCCACACATAATGAGGTTTCCCTTAACATCAACTCTACTGCTAGATTTAAAATTGTTAAAGAGATTAGCATGATCTGTACAAATCATTCCCAAAGCACACGAAAATTTCCTCTCCTTCAGTCTGGCTCAAGAAAAGGAGTCTAACTCATGGGTCAGTTTTAGGGAAAAACGACCATTTCAAAATCATTAAAGAAGATGGTGGTGTCTGAAGGAATATTTTGCAATTTTAGGATCTATAAAATAAAATTTCAATAAATATTTACAAACCTGAAGATATTAACAGAGCTCTACTTGTATGTTTGCCTTTATATTTTTGTTTTGATAACAGAGATGATATAGAACCACATATAGGATGTAGTCTTAATTGATCCCATGTCTGTATGTGTCTGGACTGTGGAAGCAACTTTATACACAGGCTGGTATTTCTCCAAGTCTTACAGTAGTTCATTTTCAGATTTTTTGCAGAATTTTGCAGGATTTCTCAGGTTATTCAGATGACTATTTTCAGAGTACTCAAGTGAAGTCACATAAACAATTAAAACTCTTAGTTTTCTTCAGCTTCATAAGATTTGCATAAAGTAAACTGTATCATATATTTAAAATAAAGTATCTGGCTATTGCAACATAGAACAACGGTTCCCAAACTTTCTGAATCAACAGATCATTGCTGATTTTCAAAATTTCTTATGTAAACTACCAGTATTCAGCAAACTCTCAACTGAAAATACTTTTCATTAAGTATTGGATCAGTCTTGTAGTTACTATGAAAATATAAGCAAGTTGATAAGAACAAGACTACTAACCTTCCAATGACATTTACTGCTCCTTTCCATCTGTTTAACATTTACCTGTTTTAACTTTGAAATAATAAAGTCACAAACAGCCTGTCTAAATAGAAGCATCCAGGGAACTGCTATTAATGGCTAACAAAATCATTTACCTCATGGAAAAGAAAAAAAAAAAAGCAGTTCTACTAATCTTTTCCCCTTCCCTTCTTTGCTAGATTCTGACTTGTAGAAAGTTGAAACAAATCCTGAATGCACTCAAAATTTACCAATGGAAAACCCACTTGGAGGAAACTGCAGCAATTAAAAGTCTCATCATTTTCTTGTTCCATTAATTTGTTCTGTAAATTCCAACAGTAAAACAAAAAGGAACACTGCCTTTTCCAGCAGCTGTTTCCGCATTCCAAACAGCTGCCAGATCAGGAATGTTCTCACTCTTCCTTAATTATATGACTGCATAACAAACCCACTTGAAAATCTTGCCGTGGCAAATAAGATCCTTTTTAGGGCAAAGTCAGGCATGTGAAGTAGCTTTCTGACAAAACCTCAAAACTGTGGGTTTATAGGCAGTTCATAAAAATTACAAGGGCCAATGATTCATTGTATAGATTATTTTTTTTTAATGGTTTCATGACAGCAAAATAGGAATGCCCATAAATAGCCTCAAGAGAAAAAGAGTTATTCCAATTATTTTAGTTAATTGCAATATGAAATTCATTAGCAAAGCAGTCTATGCAAACAGGTATTCTTCTAGTTACTCACTTAAAAGTTCAGTAACAGTTATGGTTTAAATCTTCATCTGTGTAAAAAGACAGATGACGCAATAAGAACATCCACATTAGCAAAAGACTGCTTCCACATTACTACAGAAAACTTGATTTTAGTCCATTAAGAGTTCAATTAACCTTCCTTGCCAGTTTAATATACCCTGGACAGAGAAAGTATAACTACTCCTGACCCTTGCTGTGATAGTAGACTGTTCTAATCCAGGAAGTAGCATGCTCACAGCAGCCTTATCTTGGTCTTGGGACATTAAATGAACTTTTCTGACAGAACTTAGGAAGACTTCACTTGCATATAAGGAGAATTCAGGAATCAGTGCTTTTCAGCCTGAGGGGGTCCATGGACTACTTTTAACATATCTGCAGAAGATAACTAAGAAATCCAGCCAATTAGGAGTAGTCTTCAGTTGGCTATCTTAAAACTATAAGAATTAGAGTTAAAATAATTTTGACATGAGCTGAATTCAGTTTCTCCATTGTACTGTTTACATACAAAGGGTTGTTCCGGCTGTGAATTCTGTGCATGTGACAAAGCTCACAGGAAGGAAACTCCTTAATGTGTATCCAATTCTGGATTTAAAAGTTGTGATACTTAAAAAAATCATGCTTTTAAACCAAAATTTTTTTTCAAATAAAACTTGCTGCCAACCCCAAATTTATTACCAAAAATAAGACTATCATAGTCACTACAAACAATATTACCAGATTCTACCTTCTAACATAGGAAGTCACTGAATGTACTTGTTATTAATTGCAGACATAAGAGTAAAACCCAAACGGAACATGCTCAGTATCTCAAACATTCCTTTTTAAACCACTTTGCTGAACTGATATCCACTGGAAAATATCAAACTCTATTTTACTATTTCTGTTTGGAAACACATATAATACACGCAATTTTTGGAAGTCCTTCTGTCATAAAATCAGAGAAGTGTAAACAATTACAGAAAAAAGCTTTTACAGGTCTTCTAAATTTCATTGTGGTTTCCTGTCTTTCTGACCCATGAAGAACTGTAACATTCTTTTTACTTGCGATCCCAATGTAAGCATCATTTTACAGGTCTTACCAAAAGTGTAACTGTACAAAAAGCATTACATTAATTTTCACTATGCTAATGTGACAATATTTCACAAATTTTTTCAGCTCATGAATATGTAAATATTAGCTTGCTAATCAAGCTTTAAGTACATGCCTTCAGTGCAAAGAGCAGTAAAAAAATTTAATTTTATAGCTATGAAGCTCAAAGCTAAGGCTCAGCAATCACTCTAAATACAGTTACAACAGAAAATTCAAATCTTGATTATGTTAACCAAAAAAAGATTTTAGATTTTCTTTTTAAGCTATCAGGTGCAAACTAACAGAAACATTTCTGACAGCAATGGAAACTTTACAAGTAAAATTTGGCAATGGTTAAAACATGACAGTAATGAAAGAATCCCTCCTCCCCATAGCTATTAGCCCTAACTTAAGCGTATGCTCAAACTAATTCTCAAATCTGCTTGGAAGTTACAGCATGTAAATTCCTAGAACAGTGTTGGTAAGTGCAGCAACTAGCTTTATGCACAATTTTTTTCTATACTAACACTCACAAGTGTGCTTTTATATCACATCACCCAAAGGAATCATTACTGATTTAAATGCAACTCTTCTGTACTACCATGATTAAAACATTTGAATTTCAGCACTATACTTCAATGCACATTTAATAAAAAACAGGTAGAAAAAAGATATATATACAGAATACGCATCTAAAGTTACAAAAATAAACTTGTTTACCTTTTAGAAGAGCTACTTTAGCAATAGGTTCATTTAGATCTTGGTCATCCATTTGGGCATCTAAAAAAAAAAAACCACCCACACCTTTCAAAGAGCAGGTAGACTGTAGACGGTTTTCATATACGCGTTCTTTAAGCGAAGAGAAGTTTTTACATTCTTCTCACTTTACAATACTTAATTATGAAGTCACAAAACAGACAGTGCTGCTCTAAGCTTGCCTCTGGCTCCACATAATACATACCTTCTCCAGTCTTTTAGAAAATGCTTGCGATTAAATGATGTAATTCAAACTAACTAGATGTTACAGAAACCTCAGTTAAACACTTACCTGTAGTGTCGTCACTGCTTTTTTCCTTGCTTGGACTAAGAGTGTCTGACAAATCAGATTCTTTGACTCTTGCTGGATTCTCTGTAAGAGACAAGGAAAATCAACTACAATCAGTAAATGCTTTGTTCAGTCTCTTAATCATAATTTCTTCTATACATCTATTTATTTAACTACTGCTAAACGTCAACAGAAAACAACTTAGTTGCAGAAACACTAAAAAATCTGATTGTGGCTTATTTCTTTGTTAATTCAGGCTAAAATGGATTCAGCATCACTAAAGTAATTAATCTAGTCTAGCATCTAATAGGGGATACAACTGCTTCATGCACAGCTTGAACTTTTGTTAAAGCTGTATTCTTGCCAGCTGGAACTCTGGGGAAAAGCTGATTCAATCAGGGAACAAATAAGAAAAGAAAACTAGAACAATGCGGATACTGTAACAAGTCCGAAAGAAACTGTTGTTAAGAATAAAACTGTGCTTCAGTATTTTGGACAAATAAAATAACATCAAGAAGTCTTATATATATTGTGATGTTAAAAAGAAGTGTAGCATGAACCAGTAAAGAATCACAGCAATATAAATCAATACACTAATTTCTAGAAAGAACTTTCAGTTGAAATTGTATTAAGAGAACGCAGACTATATCCCTTCCACAAAAAAAATACATGAAATATCTGTTCATACACAATTCACCACATTATTACATGCAGTTTAGTGAAGCCACAGTTGGGTTTGTCTTGGTTTTGTGGTTTTGTTTTGTTTTTTCCATCAGTTCTAGATTTTTAATGGAGAGCAGACACTGTCAAAAGGTGAGGAGACTTAATTATACTAGTTCATCCTTTTCTCCACACAGAATTATACCTGACTCAGAGTCTAAATACTTTACGAGGCTGTAATTATTTTTTTTTTAATAACCATTCCATTTAGCTCATAAATAACCATTCAGTTTAGTTCTGATGGGTCCATAAAAGAAAGGCGCACCATCTCTGGTGTAGGCAAACCCAGTAAGTCTGTCAGTGAGGAACCATGTTACCAACATGCAAGTGCAGTTATACGTAATGAAGTCTTTCTTGGTTGACTATGCAGAGCCTTGGTTTGACAGCATCGCTGTCCACCCACAGATTAACAGAGGTTTCCTCTGAGTGTCAAGTTCCAGGTAGAGAGATATATATAAAAAGGCATCATTACAACATTCCCAGTATACAGACTTTACTTCTGCCACACATGCAGAAAAGCATGGTGAACACAAATAATTTCTTCACACATAGATACTGCAGATGCAACAAAAAACTACAAGGACATGAGAAGAAAGATGCACAGCAATAAATAAATCATGTTATACCAACAGGGTTAGCATATGAAAATATGTAAAAAATAAAGGGAGTAATGAGAAAGCTTGTGTGTATTGTTTTTTTCAAATAACAGGAGAACAACAAAACTAAACACCCCCAAAATGAAATACGTTAAGTGGAAACTGAAGACAACCTATGCACCCACGCGGGGAAAATAGCAAGATGACAACACGCAGACAGGTTAATAGGAAAGTTTTCTTCATCTAACATACAAAGTTTTCTATTTCTCTGTGCCAGAATAACATCCACTTGTATATCAAACAGAAGGTGGCAAGTACAAACAAAGCAGCTGATCAAGAGCCAGACTCTTCCTATCCTAATGTAACTGAAATCACTGCAGAGGAAGAAGGGGAAAGCACCCATACGCTTAAAGCACATTAGGGGGTCGGACCTGGCAGTTATTCCAAACCTATCTCTCATGACTTCCGTAGACTTCAAAGCTCACAATGACTGGAGTAGTTAAAAACTTGACGTTTAGGGGTGGTTCTTTGCTAAAACAAAAAGGGTACTTCTCTATTTTTAGGAGTAAGTTTTTTAACTAATATCTAAAGATGTTCTGATACAAAGCATTTTACATCTATCACACAGAATCAAGCTCACAAGATTGCCATTAAAACTATAATAATTACTAAACCAAGTAATACATTCCTTTTAAAGTATTAAGAAAAGCATATCCTTAAAGCCTCACCCATGTTGTTTATGTTAGTGGCCAATCCAGAAGTGCTAAACTGAGCAGTATCTGTATCCAACTAACTTTACCATATCTGGTCATACATGGAAACACAACCTTCTTACTCTGTGCGAAATGGGAGGAACAGTGCAAGTTCCAACTGCTAAATGAATTCTCTCTCCCCCACCTCCCTCTCGTACTCCCCTCCCACCCACCCTCTGGTACACCAGCTTCTTCCTCCCTCCTATCCTCCTCCCCTGAAACAAGGAACAAGATCAGGCACCAGAGGAAAGATGCAACAGTGTCTACACCCAAAACAGCAGAAGTCAAAAAGAAGAATGATTTAGAAACCTGTTTCTTATTCTGGAACCAGAGTCATAAGCACAAACCTCTTTCCTGTACTATATTAATGTCACAGCAGTGGTCCTCATTTCCCATAATAAAACTGAGCTGAATAAATATAGCCAAAATGATGAACTATATTAAAATGTGTTGACATCATACTTACTTGATGAGTTAGATTATATTAACAAGCACTAAAAATAGCTCACCGCTTGGCAAGATAACTGGCATGCAAGTGCTACATTACAGTTATTGTATGCATTCTTTTGCCAAATATGGCGTGCTGTCTATAGCTTACTCATACACAGAAACAAATTAAAGGTGCAATTTCATACATGAAGATAAATTGAAAAGTCTCTGAAATATCAGAGCATTTAACAAGCTAACATTTATTCAATACAGTAATACTTTGCAGAAGGACAGAGGGTTAAGAAATGAGTTAGTATGTCTAGACGTTAATAAAAAGCTACAAAAGTGGAGTCAGCCTTCAAGTCCAAACAATCTTACATTATTAGACGCATAGGAAATACTGATCTACACACTTTGCAGCATTCCCGATTTTGGCACTGCAAGATAAGGATGACTGTTCCTTGACAAAATAGATCTTTTCTAACTAGCTCCTTGCATTTTACTTGTTTTATACAGAAAAGAGTTAGAGATGCACAAATATATATTACTTGAAAAAGGCACATTTAGGAGGTTAATAGTTATTTTAAAGTTATGAGGGTGTAAGTTAGAAAAAAGTCAAATTAAAATACACTTTTATTTAAAACTTAAAACGAGACCTCCTATAATAAAACTAAAAACCTGTTTGAAATTTATGCAGGCATTAAAGATTTAAATCAGTTTACAAAAACTGATTTCAATTTTTTTTTTAAATGCACATTCAGGTAAGAACTCGGTCAAAATCGAGACTAGCATTTCATGCACTCAATCTTCAAAAATCATTTCCTTTAAATCTTTTTACCCTACAATAGCATTTGGAGCAGAGTTCAGTAAACAATATACCTCCCCTTTATTGATTTTTTTTCTTAAGTAAGCATTCAACAAAACTCAAACTGCTAGTTTAAGACAGAACATGCACTGAAGTGACATACAAAGCATGCTTCAAAAACAGTTAAATAAACCAGAAGTCTAACCTTTCAAAAGCTTTGTTTCTTCCACTTTGGTTAGATGTCCTTCATCTATGATCTTGTCTGCCAAACAAAATAAGTGTTACTTTCCAAGCTCAAATTAAGCAAGCTTTCCCTGCACGCATCTACGTAGACTACATTCCATGACCAAATTAAAAGCTGATAATATTACTTCCTACTCAGGCTTGAACAAAAACTTTATTCTGGCATGGAATAATGAAACAGAGCACACAAGCCCACTAGAACTTTGTGATAAAGTGCATAATTATTTCTCCTGCAATTTATTAGCTTACATTATTAATGCTTCAGGTCACTAATGAGAAGTTAGGAAAATTAATTTTTATGAACTGTAAAAAATATAACTGAGAGTAATAAATAATTAATACATTTCTCAAGTTATAGTTATCGAAAAAGGAATTCTAAGAGCTGGTTGCCTGAAATAGATATCCACCCGATACAGCAGATATCTAGAAATACGTCACAGTAAAACAGCAATTGAGAAGCCACCTCCACATTACAACTGCTTTAACAGTGCTTATGACAGGTACACAGAAATAGCCTTTCTTAGCTCAAAACTTTCAGAAAGCTGCACAAAATTCCAAAAAATTGTGCATGTATCACATTCAAGTTCACTAAAAATTGAGTTTACATAGAGCACTGACAGCGAAGACTATTCATGTATGTCAAATGCATAAAAACCTAAAACATGGAATATGAGACTAGATTGCTAACTTCATCCTAACTCCAGCTAGGACATCAAGGCAAACAGTAAGACCAAGGGAAGAACAGGTCTGGATTAATCAAAGACACTAAAAGAACTACTGAACCAGTAGTTTAATTAATTTCTTTTTCAGAGGCGATTTCATTATTTCAAATTCCTTAAGAACTGGCTAGTGATGCCAACACGGCAAAATTAAAGGGTCACGTATCTTACAGATCACATCATCGATTTTTACGCAGTAGACCTTGTAATTTAGACAATGCTGAAAGCTATTAACACCCACTGAAACACCAGGCTTGAAGCTGTCTCTCTCTCTCTCTCCACTCTGCACTCTCCCTGCCAGATCCCAGACAATCAGGCAGGGAACTGAGTTTGCTATTACCCCATGTGCTATTAACAGGTAACTGAGACGCAGAGAAGACCAGATGAATAGCACATATAGGAGAGTTCAGATTAAGGAAGCTGGATGACAATAAATCCTTTCCAAATTTTTAATTAAAAAAAAAAAAATAAAATAGTCAGCTTTAGCCAGCACTTCCAGCTTCAAGTAGCTCTGAAGATTAAGAAGTCTGTACTCCTCTGATGGCATGTTGCTGTAACCATGACAATCTAAGGACAGAGGCAGGACAAGGTTTGCGGGGAGATATCTTTTTCAACTCTAGACAGCAAACAAGCTTTCAGACAAAAAAACCCTGAGGCCTCAAGAAGGGTTTGCATGGCCATAAACCTTGTCCTGTCCCCTTCCTTCCCCCACTGTCAGACAACCGAGTCTAAAAGAGATATTCCCTCCATCTACTGTTATCTACAAATATTGTCCTGCATTCCAATAACATTTTACAAATACTGATTCAGAAATACATTGAATGGCACACTGCATTTTCAGGATTAGCTTCAGGTCTCAAGCAACTGTAGGAGATCACTCATCATCCAAGTTCAGAACAGTCTCAAGTTCATCAGAGCTGGAGAGTCACTGCACCTAGACTGAGGAAGGCACTGCAGAGGGAATCAAGTTACTGCAGCCGCAAGTGAAGAGTTACTGAGTGACATAATGAGCCCTCTTCGATTTTTAAAAAAAAATCTAAACAAAAGTCTTCCTATGCGATTATTCCAGGACACAGCTGAGGCTGGAAGGGGTTTAGGGAGGAAAGCAGCAAGAAAGCAGCTGAGGAGTTCTGTCGACTATATATCTGAAAAAATTAGCTGAATGCAAAAACCATACACTCAAAGTAGCTATCAAGCGTTTGATCTAAAGAGATAACACCTCATCTGTGCTAGACTGTTGGCTTAAAATAGGCTGCTATAATCTGTTTACAGAAGAAAATATAGCATTATGAATTGATAGATCTTGGAGTTTTCACAATTCAGTAACTGTTAAAACCAGAATAATGATAGCACAAAACAAAGAAACTAGTCTTCTTGACCCAGATGTTTTTCCAAACAGAAACCTTTGCAGCAGCTCTTTACACTTTTAACAAGTCTCAATTCCTATGAATAAAAAAATCTGCAGACATATTTTTTTTTTCTTTTTCCATGGTGGCTTACTGTTTTCTAATGTCCATTATGAATGTCAACATTTGTACCAAAGTTTTGTTCTTGATGTTATTTCTTCAGCAAAGAACTTCAGCAGTAGCACACAAGTTCCCTTGCCTGGTGTGACCCAAAGCTGGTATACCCAGTGTTTTTCACTTGGTGGCTGACATCTCTCCTAACTTACAAAATGAGTAAGCATTCTCTGTGTTTTAAGAATGCTAGCATTAGTATACTTCAAAGCCAACAAAAATTTTATTTCAGCATGCCTGTGTATATTTACATAATAAACAGAAACTGGATGTTGATGTCACTGAACTACACAGAATCTTACTCTGCACTGCTACCACCCTAGTCACTAAAAATGGCAGAATCCAGACAACAATCAGAAAGTAAAAGCAGATGTATCTGTATCTTTAAAACTCCCTTTTTCAGATCTCTTCATCTTTTCATAGTACTATTTCAGAAGACTTCATAAACGTGATTTTTTTTTTTTTTTAAATCAATCCACATTTTCCCTGAATCAAGTTGTGCATTTTTGGCTATCAAAATATAAATTAGGGTGAGGATCCTAGCTTTAATTTCTGGCACAAATAATTATTCTTTCATGCTGTCCAGTCAGTACTTAATAGAAAGCAAAGAGTTACTGATAAATATAATAAATAATAATTTTTACTGAAATAATCTGCTTTGAAGTTAAGTTTTCAGTTCATCTTTAAGATAGTCTGTGTTTCTTTTTGTCGATGAATGCAGTTCAAAGGTAGCTTTCCTCTAGATTTTTAAGCATTTCCTATCTTCTCAATTTAAGAACTCCCTTTTAGATTTAGGTTGCCTATCACTATGTGTAATGTAAGAGTTAAAATCTGTTAACATTACAATGATTACTTAAGTAACATGCCCCCAATACATTTATGTTTCGTACCAAATTAGTCTTTGACAGTGGCCAGGTTTGAAGACGAATGAAAGGAAACCTGGCCCTCAACACACACATTTCAAACCATCTGAAAAAAGTGATACTAAGCAGCTTAAACTTTACTTGCCACCTGCAGATCATACATTCATGGAAAAGTTGAAAATAGTCATTCAATCCATCTAAAAACTACTCCATTTTAGACAGATAAATTACAAAAAAATTCAAAAACTTAGTAAAAAACGCAAAAAATTGCCTTGCATTTAAAATCATAAATTGAAAAATCACAAAAGGAGGAAAAAAATAAAGATGCAAATAAAGAGTTAGATTGGAGCAAAAGATAGGAAGCTATCTGGACACCAAATCTCTTTTGTCTATATGTCACCACCATTTTTGGTAACAACTCATATCGTGTACTAATCAAAAAGAAGCACCATGACTTTTGCTGTCCATGTCACTGGTTTTCACCAGTGGTTACTAAAAAAAGAAGTTATGAAATGAGCAACAAGTGAACTGGATGTAATGATCAGAAAGTAACAGACTTCCCAGATCATTCACAGCAAGATTTCATAACGTTCTAGATGTTGTAGATCAGGACAGGTTACTGGATGATACCGTGAGCCATGTTCTGCTTAAAAAATAAAAATGAATAAAAAAAAAAAATATCTTCAGAAACCTACAGAAGCTGGATTTTACAAACAATGCCACCCAAGTTAAGCATTCAAGCTGCATTGCAACTAAGATTTTAGTGCTCTGTTGTTTCTCCCTCATCAAAAATATTCTAGCTTTAGTACCATGAGAGGTCTTGATTGCTCTTAACTGACAAGCACTTTCAATTGCTTATACCTTTGTAGCAACTGTTTGTATAGAATACTAGATCTTTTAATCACCTAACTTTCCTTCTGGTGCTATCTTACATACTCCTTGATACTTCCTTGATTCAAGTTGTTTTTCTTATTTCTCTGCTTGTGCTTTCCCAACTTAAGTGTTTCTTCCACAGAGCTATGGAGATGGGCACTTTGCCTGCTGTACCAGCACAAGTCAAAACTTTCTCTTCCAGACAGACTGTATGGTTGTATCAATTCTCCTTTCTTTTCAGATGTCTCTTATGGTTTGCAGATCCTATAGTTTTAATTCCTCTGCTTCTATTACAAAACAGCAAACCCTACATAACACAATTTCAATGAGTGACTCCTATTTCTGGCATTCTTATCATATTATTATTTTTTAAATAATAAACCTGCTCCTCCCCCAATACCTAAACCTCTGGGCAAAAAAAAGCATACTATCATACGATGAACTATATATTCTTTCTCAATATTGCCATTTTTTATGATATTGTTTATACTTAAGTATTTGCTGCATGTCTTAAAACTCCAGTTCCTGGCAATCTCTGGAACTATAGTTTTTCTGCCCACTAGTTCCCAATCCTCACTGCTGCAGAGAGCAAAGAGCAGGAGTAGGACTGAAGGGTAGCACTTACGTACAAAATGAAAATAATAGATCCTGCAGTTTGCAGTTTTTTAACCTCATGATTTTGTGGGGTCTGACTAAACATACTTGAATTTGGGAAAGGCAAACTTTCAGTCCAGGAATAAATACATGAGCTGCTGACTTGAAATCTTTTTTGTTCTTGATTAGGTAGTAAAAAATTATACTGTCACAAAAAAAGCAGAACACTGAACCTTTTGAACTCATATTCATTCTTTTAAAAATGAGGCAATGAAGGCCTTACAGTGTTTTTACTCCAGTTTTCAATCTCTCAAGAAAGGGACGGCATAAGTAAATTGATCTTTATTTTAATCTTTTATTACTACTTCAGTTGCATGTTAAAATCTTTTACCAGATTCTTATGGTTACTTTTGCTTTTCAGTAATAACAAGACTGATCACATTTAGTTTGCAGAGGTGATACTAATACAAGTTTTGCTGCTAAAATAGGTTAAGCTAGCATCCAAACAATGAAAACAGGCATCAATTTGTATTTGAACATCACTCAGTGTGCTCTTCATTTTCACACTAGACAAAAAATATTTTTACTCAAACATTTAACTTCAGTTCATTTTTCTGTACTGAGTAAAGAGGATTCATACAAGACCTTTGCAAAATTTAAAATTACTTTAAACTTCAGGCTGACAGAAGACAGCTATCAGTCATTCACTTTTAAAAATAAACATTTCTCAGATAAATAAAGTTTAAGCTTTCTTAGGCAAACATTAGCAGTATCCTGTTCTTCAGTTTATAGCACGGCAATCCACATCACAAGGAGTAAAGTCAAACGAGTCTGTTACACGTCCTCATTGAAATTTAAAAGGGAAAAGTCCAATGGGCATAATGTCAAAAAAAGATACCGTCTTATTTCTGCTTATAAATACTTGTGTCTGCTGAACTTCAGGTACATAATTCCGGTAAACTCTTAAGTCAAAAAATAAATCTTTATGCTACAAAGGAGTTTTCTTTGAAGTTTAATGGCACTTTTCTGTCTTCACCCTAATGATATTTTTCTCTCAGCGGACAAAAAGTATTAACATCTTAAGTTTTTCTTTAATTACAGATGTGCAGACTGCACTGTTTCATTACTCATTTTCAAAAGCGATATGCTTTGAAAAAACAAATCTGGAATGTTTCTCATTTTCATATCTTTCTAAAGATTGGCATTTCATATTTATGTTCCACTTTTCTTAAAATAATCTCTTAGATTTCCACATAAAAATTAAGGTCTTGTTTTCCTTTTTGTTCTTTGTAGCAATTTGAAGAATGTGTAAGGCCTTTAATTATCAGTTAAATTACAGATATGTGAAAAGAAAAGGCATCATTACCTTATCTCTGTCCTACTGCTGCCTGTGATATTTGCTTAAATTGACAGTGTTAGGCTTTCAACTTTTTAATTTGTAACAGGTGAAAAATTACACTCAGTTTTAAACATCAGGTGGCAACATTACCACCCTTTTATTGGTCAGAGGACAATAATGGATTAACTGCTAAGAAGAGACAATGTGATCATCGTTTTGTAAGAGCAAAGATATCCTCTTACTACTCCTACAGGCATCTGCTTAACATCACAATGCCACAATTCTATGCTTAGAAAATTTCTGCTACTAAAGAAATACTAAATAGTAGTGACAAATTCTGGTTTTTTATCCACCTTTTCTGAGTTTTCTGTTGTTTTTAAAGCAAATGCGATGAACACTCTTGTACTCACTCTGACATTCTATGAACTGATGAATAAAAGTGCAGTCCCCTCCACTCTTTGAAAGAAAGTGCTCTAGTAAAGAAAGAAACACTTAAGTTTACATCTTCTCTTACATTTTCAAATTGATGCAAAATAAAATTTTGAAAGTTCTATTAACAATATTTGTAATTATGTATCTACAGTGAACTTTTGAAATCGGAGTTAATATGCAAGCAGACAAGACATAATTGAAATGATGTCTGAGTGATATTAGAAAATAGATTACTCTCTTGAACTGATCAGAAGAAAGAAGTATTTTAATTGCATTTTCAATGCTTTTAAATACTAAATTCTAATAGCAGTTCTTAAGCATAATAAAGAGCCCCTTACCTCAGTAGAAGCTATTTTTAAAAACCCCAAACTTTATTTAACAATATTTAGTAAGAATCAATTATTAAAAGTCCAAACATTCTCCATTTGGCATTTGCTGTATTGCTCTTTCAGGTTAGGTGGTGACAAATCACTTCCACTAAATTTCCATTGACGAATTCATATTTTTGACAAAAAGATTAATATACGTGATATTCAAATCACAATAAATTTAGAATACATAAGATAATACACTACTGAAACATGCAACTCCATAGCACTGATGCCTCTAGTTCCTCCCATTTGTTAATTTATAATCAGACATAGATAACTGCAAATGCCAAATCCAAGCACTGAAGAAGTAAGAAACATGTATTTAACTTCTATTCTTCAGCATTTTTTATTAGCTTTAAAAGGGCATCTAGTAAGTTTTTCTTTAGTCTTCACATTCATTCTTCATATCTAACACCCTCTTGAAATGAAACACTTTTAAAATAAAAGTGTTGCTGAATATCTCCCTTTACTTTTTAAACAAAGTTTCACTGTACAGAAAGAACAATTTTTGAAAGGACAGTTCTACAGCAGAGATCCTAAAACTGGGCTCAATTCTGAGGTTTACCCAAGTCTTTCTACGTGACCTTGTTCAGCTCCCAATGCCATCAGAACCTTGCATCTCTTCAAGTAAAAAGGTGCTAACACTTCCTTCCTAGAGGACCTCAAAAATCCTTTGACCTGAAGAGTCTAGCAATCTGAAAAGGCTGCTTTTTAGTACACAAAGTGGCAAAATGTGTTACATTCTAACAAAAATTGTTCAATCACTAGCTTCTGATATCAGAAGCTTAGGTGTTAAGAACCAATATGTAATACTAAACTTTACCATATTTCAAAGTTACTCTAAAAAGTAAACCTTTCTCTAACCCACAAGGCCAGGGCTTTTAAAAGACAGTACCATGGCTGTAACATTTATTTTCCACATGTACACTTTCTTTTTTTAAGCCTTTTTACACGATCCTCTAAGTGACTGTATACAAATTTCTCATATCTTCCTTTACATAATATATGGCTCACAAAACTTAAAATATGGAAGCCAGGTGCGGTGCAACTCACTGAGAAACATACCACTTATTGAAATAGCTCAGTTCTACACAACCTTTGTCAGTGGCTTGATGTACAAGTTACTCTCTTCTGCACCAGAATTTCCATATGTGCAATGAGAGAAAATTAATGCCTAACCATCACCATCTTAATAGACTCTGTTATAAAAAGCCTCTAGAGAGACTATAACATGAGTTCTTAGTTCCTCTACTCAGAGTATAGCTCTTTTAATGTTATGGACAGCCACAGAAAAAAGCAATGTAAAATCCTTATTCTTGCAACAGCTAGGTAGTATGCCTAATAAACATTCCTTGATGATTTGACTTGAAGTTTTGAGAAACAGACAAAAGCAATCTTAAAAAGCATACTGATTTTACATGGTTTTACCATTTTCTTTCCTCTGATGGGGGGAGTGGGAGGAAGGTATGCATACCTTTGCATACAAATAGGAGGAAACATGTTTGTTCGGGGGTTTTTTAATTCCCTTACATGCTATTTAGCACCCCCCTCACCCCCAATTTCTGACTTCTGCCTTCAACTATGAAGTCTTTTCCTTACACAAAATATCTACAACCTCCTTCACTGCCAAAGTTGCTGAATTTACATTATAAACTCTAAATTCTTAGCTCTTCTAAAATGATGCAAGACTGCTCCGCAAAAAACCCAGTAACTGCCTCCTGCTGCTTTCAAGAGAACAAAATCCAAAATCTGGTCAAGAAAATTGCTGCCCATCTGTCATTATACGAGGGCTAGATATAGGACAGGAAGACACAGAGAGGCACAGACTGTCATGAAGAGAACACAGGCCAGCAAGCTGTAAAATGCCAGAGAAATGTGGATGGACCAGATATATCAGAGATGCAGAAGAATGTAGTACAACAGGCAGAGTAATGGAAAACTATGCTATAATATAGAATAATAAAATAGCATGGTAGGCGCATGAGAGAAAAAGGTGATAGACTGTATAAGCACACAAAAAGACAACTTGAATGAGCAGTTATATGTTGTCTATATTCATAAAGAAACAGAAATTGGTAGACAGCTTCCTAAAACTCCCAGATTTAAATATAATTTCTACTGCTACTCATAGGATGGAGGAATCTGTATTTTCATGCATCTATGCAGATGACATTTTGACTTTTATGCAATCTAAAGTCAGTCAAAAAGGGACTGCTTCTTTAACTTTGACAAACAAGTAAGTATCAGTGATACAATGACATTTGTTACTATCACATAATAACTAATTCAATTTTGAAATAACATTTCAATTTTTAAGCTCAGACTGATAAGAGGTAGCAGTATTTAAAAAACTAATAAGACATTCTTATCAACAATTTTAAAACAAAGAAAGTGTCTCTTAAAAATCATACTTAGTGTGATGTTATAAACTATTTCTCTATAAAACAATATATAGTTGCACTCAAAGCTTGAAAGTTTTTACTAAATGTTTCAATTTAGCGCTAAGCTACTTTTGTTCACAATCTTGCATGTTTTTTTAATAACCTCCAACAACCTAACTTTCAAAGTCTTTTTTGGTTTACATTATTAGACTGAAGAATCACAATCCCTATACAGTACCTCAGTTTTGCTTTGTAAAGAAGTTAACTATTTTGTGGGGTGGAAGATTTAAAAAAAAAAATTAAAAGGAAATTTATTTCTTAACCATCCTATCAAGCATCAAGAATATTACCAACTAAAATTATACATCGCCAAGATGGATGAATCTATCTAAAAACAAAGCATGGCAGTCCAGAGAACTGGGGACAGACATGAAGTCTCCTTGCTTGCTAATCTCAGCATGCACCACAGCCAAGTGCCTAAAATGCTAAGACAATAAGGGATAACTAGTACCCAGATTAAGGGGAGGCTTTTGTACAGTTCTTGTCAGTGTTTAACAGATCTCTCCTCCTGCTCCAAATAAGAACGAGACGTGAGGTCACACCATGATTAACTTCTTTTATTTTGCTGTTGGTCTCCCTAGTTAAGAAGCTCTTCATTTATAATACAAAAAAAACCAAACTAAAACCCAGTAAAAAGCTAAGAATTAGAGCATAGAGAGTTTTAAAATTTTGTTTCAAAAATGTATACAGTAATCCTTAAATCCTTAAACACTGTGAATATTAGTTAAAACCACAAGTTCTCTATGCAGGTTCCCCAACCTTCCAACTAATACTACCACCATTCCTCAGAGCTTTCGCTATCCAGCAAGACACAGCAAATGCTGAAGAAAGCTACATCAAGGAAAAATTTAAAATTAACATAAAAGGAAAAATATATCTTAGCCAATGGAAAAATTTAGTGAATTTAGAATCATAACTGGAATAATCTTTGCTATATGCGATATTGGGCATATTTTTATCAGACAATTTTGTTCAAAAAACTTCAAGTGTATGTTAAGACACATTAGTTAAAATACTTAGCTTTAACGAATTGGTCTTTGAAAAAAACCATCAGTTGGTTCAATCTGTATTCATTCCCGTTTTACATAAAGACACTCCTGAATGTTAAAAAGTTAGTTTCCACTATTTATATATTTCCTATACCCACACTTTTCATACATTATAGTTAGTAAAAAAATATGTTTTGCTGATTTTACTTACCATACCCAATTTACTAGAAAAACGGTTTATATCTGTGTTGCAAGAGGAAAAAAGTGAATGAGTTTTCCACTTTCTGTGTCAAAAACCTGACATCATTCAGTAGACTCCTACTGATTCCAGTGAGACCCCATCAAAAACAAGCAAAAAAAAAAAAAAGAGACGACTTCCAAGTTGGTTTGTTATGTTTTACAGAACTTTCTAAAAACACCTAGACTGAAAGCCTAAGCAAAAAATGCTGGTCAGAGGAGTGGACAAGTTCAATTTCATTTTTTAAGAGAATATTATTCAAAGTAAACTTTAGAAAACAGTTTGAATTTGTGCAACTTCAAACATCAATCATAAGACAAAAGGTAGCCTTAAGATACACTACCTTTCTCTGTGCTCCCATTAATTTTAGGTATGAAGTCGTCAACTTGTATGCCTAGGATTAAGAAAGGGTATTATTTCTGGAACCAAGCAAAATGTTTTGCGTTTTGTTTCTTCATAAATATAGCATTGTGAAATGCATCTGGCTTTTCATACTACCTCCTCCTTCTAAGTAATCTAATCAAACAAAACAGGCAAGATTTAATGTGTTTTCCTGCACTGTCGATCACATTCCTGTTTCTTCAAATGTATAAGAGGTTACTATCAACCAAAGAACTACTGCCTATTACTCTTTTTTTTTTTCTTTAAAATCCATACATATATACACGTATATAAGGACCTTCAACATCTTGGAGCTGAGGGCACACAAACAGCTCTAAATTTGAGCTATTAACCAGAAGCCAGAACGCTCACAACAGCAGCGCCCTCTACTGGCATTTTGTCGTGGCCACATGTCTTGCAAGGTTAGTAGGAGATACTAAGAAAAATGCACTACTGAGGTAACTGCAAAACATTATTCTTTTGCCAGACACCTAAGACTACAAGATTATTATAATAAAAATAATTGAACAGAAAGTCTGGAAACTAGCTTGAAACAAGAAACTGATCACACCTACCTAAGCTCTTGTGTTCTTTAAGAGTTTTCTCTTGAAGATGTTCTAACCGTACTGTAAACAGAAGTCCAAGAAAAAGATATTTCACAGATTTAAAGAAAAACAAATAATCAAAGTTTCTTCCCCACTCGCTACTAACCTTGTAAAGCAGTTAGCCGCTCATTGGTGAAGTCATTATCAGCCTGTAAAGCTTCTATTTTTGCTTGAAGCTCTTGCTCTCTCTCTTCCATTTCATCTATTTTACGCTGCAATTCCTTTTTCTCAGCCAGTCCTTTCTGTTGGATTTCTTCTTGTCTTCCTTCTGCTACCTGCCCAAACAAGATTAAATAAATCCGCAAACAAATCAAAATTAACATATAAAGGAATAGATTTCCTTGATTTTTGTATAACTAAATGTAAATGAGTAACTTTCTTTGCTAGTCAGATAAAGAAAATGGAAACAACGCAAAATTTTTCTACTGTTATTTTCCTATAAATTTCACTTCAAGCAACAGAGAGAAATATTCTCAAAATATCTTAACTCACTTTTTGTGTGAGGAACCTAAGTTTTACAGGAACAGTACCAGGGCCCAAGAACTAAGAAACATCCAGAGTCTCCCGCATTTCAAATCAACCGAAACTTAAGAGTCCTTCTGAACTGAATGTACATTGCGCAGACCAACTTGATTGAAAGCCGCATCTTTTTCCTTTCTAGGTTTCACAGTAAGTAGTTTCAAATACTCTCCTCCCTCCAAGCTAGGTAATAAGTTTCAATTTTGATCCTTCTGTGCATACTAATCATCATCGGAGATTAACTCATAACTGGGAAACCACTTGCCTTAAGATCAGCAACTTAACATTTTAATTTGGAAAGAAAAATCTTCTGTCTCAAGTGCTGAACTAGGACTCGAAGAACCTCAGTTCAAATTCCAGTATTTATCCAACACAAATGCAACAATTGTCTCAGGTCTACACAGAGAACACTACTACCTTCCTCCTCCACATCTTCTACTTAGCTAGGTTGGAGACTCTTTGGGAACATGCTTTATCATACTGTGATCATTCTGTTCTCCAGTATAAAGGACCTTTAAATATTAATATACTTAGACATTTAGTTTAGTAACAAACCTGATAGCACACTCCTTCCCCCTGGAAGCCGAGCAATATTACTACTATGTAGTAGGCTAGTTTTGTTTGTAACTGCACAAAGAGGCAACATGAAATGCAAATTTATTTCTAATTCTAGTTTTCGCTCCTATTAACTGCAAGATGGTTATGGTGAAAGTTATTAGTCTATATAAAAGTAGCTGAATATAAAGTTTTACACCATACATAATTTTAATATAAAATATACTGCAGCTCCAAAAATATGGTCACTTTCAAAGCAAATGAAAAGGGAATCTTTTTATCAATTTACTTAACTGATGACAGTTTCAACTACATTAAATGTAAACGAAAAGAATACGTAAAAGATTATATGCATCTTTCTTTCATTAACCTGTTGTTTAAAATGTTTCTTAACCTTTATTTGACTGCTACATTAGAAATTAAATTGTATTTTTTTGTTCCAGGCATTATAGTATCATAAGTCAGATGAAGTCCTGTCATTACCTTTAGCTTGTCAGAAAGATCTTTAATTTCATTTACAGCTCCGTTGTACTTATTAGCTAATTCTCTTAATTCTTCCTGAGTCCGCTCATTCATTTCTTTCAGGTGAGTACATTCATCTTCTGTATTACTTAAACTCCGCTGTAAGACAGAATTATGACGTGATAAATAAAGAGACTAATAATCTACCAAACACTGAAGTTCATCCATTCTTTCCAAACAGTGTACGTAACTAATCATATTTAACTGCTTTGTAACTAATCATTAAGGCCAAACAAACAGATCAAACCCTGGCAAAAACACTACCTATACAAACCTTTGTAATGTTCTACTTAAAGAACAGATTATGTGAAAATATATTGGCTTCATGCATGTGTAAAAAAAACCAAACTCCACAACAAAAAATCCACAGTAGGTCATATAATTAATTGTGATTGATAGGAATAAAGAACTGAAATGAGTGATCCATCTCCCCCACTCTCTTCTCTTTTATGCTAAACTGTGAAAGTTTTATAATATTTTGTAATTCAATGTAATCAATAGATTTCATCATACTTTTCACTCAGCAAAAGAAGATGTAACACATTATAAAAGCCAAATGGCTCCAAGGAAGTGTTCTAAATCTTTTCTGTACTCCATAATGTGGAAAGGCATCTAAACTAAGAACCCCTTACTCAAGGGGCAGCTGGGCCTTCAGGAGGCAAGGAACACCCCAGAAGTTTGCATCAGCTGGTGATAACGGCACAACTAAATGGTGTAGAGTTTCCTCCTCATAGCTCAAGATTTGCTTCTTCAGTCATACAATGTTTTTGAGGGGTTTTTTGTTTCGTTGGTTTGTTTTGGATGGTTTTGGGTTTTTTTTGTAACAAGCTCTGACTTAGTTCTCCTTCAGGACCAAAACACTTTTAAACAAAAGTGCATTCAAAACCACACTATATAGTAATTATTAAAGGACAACTCTCAACAAAGAGCCAAAGATTCTTCTGTGTGGAGAGAAAAGTATGTGGCACAAAGCACTCAAGCAAATTTCTTACTCAAGTTAAATGCGTATTTCTCCCCCAAGAGTCAAAGTAAAGAAGAAAAAGTAGAATAAATAGGTCAGATGATTCTTCTCCTAGTATAGGATTGGAAAGAAGAAAGCTAGAAGTAAACATAAAACTCCAACCATTAAACCTGTCAAGAACTATTACAATATAAAAAAGGTGTTTTTAACTGAAATCTCACAAGGTTATTTATTACAGCACTATATGCATTGCATTCTCTAAACAGCATGAAGAGGGTAGAGACTTTCTGCACTTAAAATTGTCTTATGACATTCCTTGACCTAAGGGAACATAGCAAATAATGATAATGGAAAGAGAAAATAAAGGAAAATACAGTAATGAGAGATATTATAGGGACAGAAATCTTATTTGAGGAATGTGTCCAACACTTTGCAATCTTGAAAGCTCATTCTTAAGTGTAATTTGTATGAGTGGTTAAGCTTATGTTTCCATAAATTTTACAGTTTAAACAAGGTCTAACAGCATTTTTTTGAATGAATATATGTCATTTTCCTCTCATTTACTTCCCCACACATAGTAACTTCTGTAAGACAGCTTCATGAATTTTGAAATCTGGCAGAAAAAGGAGGAGTTTAAAGAATAGTTTCTCATTAACTGTTTAACAATCTAAGTATTATCCAATAGGAGAAATAAACACTACTATTTAATATACTGCCAGTGTCACAATACAACAAATACTGACATATTACAGGCAGCAAAACAGGGATCTAAGTAGCAACAATTATAACTATTCTTGGCGTTTCCAGAAGACTAGACATAAAACTTCAATACCTCCACTTCAGACAGTTTTCTGACCACTTCGATTTTCTCCTGAAGGACCCGCCTCAGGGACTCTTTGGCTGTCGTCTCATAGTTGTGTTTGTCTTCTTGTAATGCTATAAGCTCTTTTCGTATACTGTCTTCTGTTTGATTCTGTACATATAAGATAATTCAGATACAAAGACAGAATATAAATTAATATTTTGCCGATTAAATATATTAGACTGTGATAAGACTTGTTCTATTCCAAAATTTTTAGCAATTTCTAGTAAATAGGAAAACATTATTGACAAATCAGTGATCAAAGATTCTTGACATGACTGGGTGTAAAACAGTTATTTTTTGAAGTGTATGTATGGCAGTACACATTCAATTATCAGCTTTGATCATAGGAAAACTATGGGGTTTTTTTGGACACTGCTAAGACAAAGTCAAGCCTCAGAGACATACAATTTGACAAATCAGAAACCTACGAGGTCCCATCTGAAAGACCTCAAACAGGACCTGCAAAAAAAGTTCTTATAATGTAGGTAGTTGAGAGGAATTAAAAATAAAATTAAAAAAAAATAAATTTAAGGCAGGCATAGGTGGCTTAAACAACAATCAAGGCAGGGCATACTTGTCACTGTCTCTGAATACCAGACAGCACATTGATAGTATCTGAATATCCAACAACACATTGATAATGCCTTTGTTCAAATCACTATTTGGAAAGAAACATCCATAGGAAACAGGACAGGATGGTTGCTTCTCACTGATGACAGAAATTCCTTTTCTGCATTTCACTACATACATGTTTACATGCATTTATAAAAGAAATCAGTTTGGCCTAAAAAAATGCTGGAAAACAGCCATTTATCTAGATTTCAAGTGAGTCCATGAAATACAGAACAGACATACAGTTTTCATGCTATTCAGATTATCAAAACTGCACAGGCTCATTTCAAAAAGTTTATGTTCCAACTCCTTTCCTACAACTAGCTAATTTCAAAACACTTCAAAAGAGCTATCTTTCAGCATTACTAGCATTCAGCTTTAAGTGAACTACTCACCTTTGAACATGCCTGTAACTGATTTCCCATGACCTCTAATCTTGATAGCAGCCTGTCTTCATCTATTAAAGCCTAGGAGAAAAGAAGTATCACCTTAGTATTAACATCTACTTTATGTAGTTCCAGTAGAGTCCTGACTTAAAGACTTTAATTTTGGTGGAGTACTTACTAATAGTTATTTCAAATGGTACATAATAACTGAATTTATTAAACATTATTTTTTGCACAGTTTAAGAGAACCATCATAAGCTTTTTATTCTTTCTGCTGCTTGTTTCCCCATTGTTTGTAAATTAGTAGATAAAATTTAAATGCCACTGCATATTTCAGTCCATAAAGGAAAAGGATGCCTGCATATACCTGCCAACTAGTATCTGAAGCCTCTTGAGTGACAGCAAGTAGCCGCTGAAGGGTTGCCAGCTTCTGTTCCAACATTTGTTCCCGATGTAAGGCTTCCTATGAAGAGAGCAGAGGACCAGTCAGTTCAGCTAAAACAACTAGAAGAACAGAAGCAACAGAAGAGATACTAAAAATCAAGAAAAAAGGAAGTGTGGGTATCAAACATTGTCACATATTCAAAACTGTAATAAGCCCATCCCATTTTATGCCTCCACACATTTATTTGGATATTTTAATTAGAAAATATTATCCTATAACCTCAGGTTCCCGAAAACCTTCCTTTTTCATGTATACACACTGAGTAAACATTGTAACAAGTTATTAAAAACACTTCGACTTTTATCAATAATTTGAATTACAAAACTGTAAACACCAGAAGGCAGCTTGGCAGCTCCCATGCAATGAGCTGTTCATCTTCAAATAAGGTTGCAAAAGAAAATGCCAAGCAAGAACTACTATTTTTGTTTGATTTTTGTTTTACAACAGTAAGATAGAAGAGCATCTTCATTAACAATTCCAGGATACAGAGTGAACAGATTGGTGAGCGAGTAAGTATCCGGCCTCCCAAGAAAGAGCATCTGCTTGAGCTGCTTCCTGCTATGTCAGCAAATACATATAAAGTTAGTATCTGCCTCAAAAGCCTCATCATTTATGTGAACAAATAAAAATTGTCATTACCAAATGAAACTAGGCAAAATACATCAGTAGAACTATACATAAATTAAACCTAGATAGAATTTGCCAGTAAGAATGTTTTCATATCTTTTCCAGAAAGCTGATTTTATGATCCTTTCTAAAGAGTTTACTTATATAAGCACACAAACACTTTAATGCGTTGCCATTTTGCAGTCTAATCTTTTTGTGACATGATGTCTTTGGAAAAAACAGACCTATTAAAACTGACATAGGAGCAGGCACAGAAAGGCTGGTGATGCCAACGAGGAAGCAGAGCCGCCAGCACTGTCTTTGGAAAGTAGAAGGAGAAGAGATACAGGGACAGAAATATTCACACTGAGAAATTATATTCACAGAAACAAACTAGTTCTTGACACATTCAAATGGCTCCTTGTTTTGCCTTTCTTTTGTTCTATCAAAACTTTTATACACTTACACAGTACATCCACAACAATGGATGATGATAAAAATCTTGTGAGCAAGAGAAAATGGGGAACAGTGAGGTTGGAGAGGAGAAAGGCCAGGAAAACCAGGTATATAGCGTTCAGGGAGCCTTCTATAAAACAGGGAGCTTTCATGCTTCTTTTATAAAAGTCATACTTTATACTGCTCATGCAAAACTCCAAAAGTTTTCATAAAACTATACCATGTCCAATTACAACATATTTTACCTTATTTCACTACAGAGAAGGTAGTTAAACGTTCAGCATGTTCCGGTTTACAAAATGCAAGCCAAACAAAGCCTTTCAGAACATAAGACTTGTGTTTTGAACAAACATTAAGTATTTAGCCAAACCAAATGCTGTCAAGAGAAAACCCACCTGTAGATACTGTGAAAGCTGAAACAATTCCTGAGAATACATACTGGGAGTGTTAGCAGCAACCTGAAAAATAAGAGAATTTAAGAATTGAAATGGTTTTGGATTTTTCATTAAACTCAAATAATACAAAATTCATCATTTAAATCTAGTTACGAAGGTAAACTTAATATTATCTAATAACGGCATTTTCAATCGTTTATTGTTCTGCCACTATTTAATCTTTATCGGAGAACTTCCCAACTCTGAGTTAATGTCTTTACAAGTTCTTGAACCACCAACACGCCAAAGAGTTTAAGGCTTTTGTATCAGCTGGAATTAAGCTCACAAAAAAGAAGCAAGGAGCACAAAGGTGAAGCCATTCAACCCAAGGACAAACAGAAATCAGACGCTTCCAGAATTGAAAATAAAGTCTCTCATATTCCAAATCAATGTCATCATCATGTACACATTTCAATCATATGTTTCCCATTGACCCACTAGCCATCATCTTCATCATTCCCCCTTGTAAGTATTTATTTCAGATTTGGGGAATACATATATTATCTTTAATCATAACTGAAACTGTTCCGGACTTAGGCGGAAAGGGGGGGGTGTTTTGATTTTTTTTTTTTCTGGCAAATTTATTTATTTACTAATTCTTGTAGGCTCTTCCTACACTGCCATGATTTTGAAGCTGTTTTTCACATAGTTATAACCGCAGTCCCTCCTCAGAATTTCTGCCCTTGCCCTCGATTCAAGCTACATAGCCTGCTTTGAAACCTCAATTTAAATGCCAAGTCTATGAACTCCTCGAGCTGCTGACTTCACAAATAAGTTCCCTTAGTTTCTCAAAAATTGTTCTTCACATTTAAAACTCTGATTCAAACCTATTTAAAGTTAATCCGTCTTTTTATAGACTACAGAGATGATCAACTCCTGATCACCTGTCTCAAGGGTGTACGTATTAACCCTACAAGTCCCCCACATTATCAGAACTGAGTTTAAAAATTACACTAGACATTATTGACTCCATGACTCTACAGTGAGCAACTCTGGCTATACAAGAGGTGCAGAGAGGTCTGGTCTCACTCGTCCCTTGGAACGTGTCAGAGCACTTTCCAGCCTGTGCAGTGCAGCTTCTCCTCCATAAAAAACAAGATACAAGAACAACAGACCTCATCCAAACACTAAATCATGAGCTACTCTTTGGTTGCGCAGAACAGATCCACGTATCAAATTATGCAACACCCAAGACCCGTTAGGCAGTTAACCTGTACCTGGAAATCTAACCATCCTAACATCAATGTGTGTTTTTTTCCCCACAGTCACATTTCAGGTGCCATACTATAAGAAATCAAGCTACCTTAAAATATACACTGCAATACTGCATTACCTTCTCTACCTCAAATGTCACTCAAAATATTAAATTAGGTAAAAACAGGCAGTGGAAAACATATCTAAACGTAACTGAACTTCACCATTTCTTCACCTTTATAGCAAGTCAGAAAACAGCATGTGGCTGAATAAGGCAGAAAACAGCAAATTACTGAATTACCTTGTCAACAGGACTTGGTAATGGAGCATGGATAACACTAAAAAAAAATTTTAAAAAGTGAACACAAAGTGCAGAACAGCAGTTCAAAAATTCAGAAGATCCCTAGTACTGTGCATTTCATAAAGATGCTTTGTATTTTTAAGTTTATTCTTCACATAAAAATGAAGAGTTAATATACCAACGTACAAAACCAGTTAATACTATGCTGAGCAATGTCTTCAAAGTTACAGAACTATTTTCAAATTATAAATCCAAGGCCTGTTCTAAAAACTCTCTTTACCAACTTTTATTTCAGAAGCTACATAATAATCAATTCTTTTAAAACTGATTTATTAAGACTTAAACCAATTCACACGCACAAAACAACACAAATGAAAAGACAGTGGATATAGCACTCTCATTCACGAATTCAACAAACTGAGTAAAATATTTGGTAACTTACAGAATTTTGTACACTTTCACTGCAGCAAATGTTATACTTGCATATTTTCATCAGAACTAAAAATTCAACACCATACATTTCTACTACTTCTTAGTAGGACATGCAATTATATGGAAAATTTCCCATAATAATTTATTTTGACTTATCTTCCGAGAGGCAAAGACACCCTAAAGTTTCATGCAAATATTTCTGGATACTATGATAAAAGAATATTTAAATAAGCAATGAAAAACATACGATTGCTGAGAATGAAAGATCATTAAAATTATGTCATTTGTCATTGGCACTCAGTTACTGCAAACAAAACACTTAAATTTTTTGTTTCTACTACTCGGAAATTTTCTGCAAAATGTGCACATATACACAGAAAACCCTCTCAGTATTCATCTGAGTTTCCAAACATTAATCCTTTCAACATATTTTATGATTTTTTTTTGTTTCTCATGCCAGGCAAAACTTTCTTTCACTGTGACACCCAAATAACTGCACCATGAGGACACATTACTATATTACTTATCTGAAGAATATAAACAGTCTTATATGTACACACAGAGAGAGACACCACTAATGTCACTTTAGTAGAGCCTATGTGCATTTAAAGGAGCAAAAATAATAATCCCAAATAAAAAAAGAAGGAGAATTTGCTCATTTGCTTTCTTTTTTCCTATGATCTTCTTTTTATAATACCCATTCCAGTACACTAAACCACAGTCAGTCAGAAAAGCTCAACTTGATAAGAATCTTTTTATTCTTTTAGAATTTTTTATTCTTTCATAGTTGTCTTAATTTCTAAAAGCAACAAGCAAATGGGATTTCTTTTTCATAATGCCTGCAAAAGAACTATGCTCTCAGTTACTTTCTTTGCACAATCACAGGAAAATAAACTCTTCCTGTGCTGTTCTTGAACATAATATCCATCAAATCCTCATTATGCAGTAGTTTAATTTTGCTACACAGGAATAGATACTTATTCTTACTCTGATCGCAATCGAGCTTCCATTCCATCTGGAAGAAACAGTTTGATTGTGGAGACTATACATCCATGGGTAACTGAAAAGAAACAAATATTAAGTCACCATGGTTTGTTACTATTAGATTGTAAGTTCAATGCTTAACATTACAGTAACCGAGTGACCTGTCTTAAGAAACTCCAAGGCAGGCAAACAAGAAGAGGTATGAATGCCTTCAAGCACCAGTGCTTGGGTCTGCCTTCTGGGACCTCCTCTGGAAACAGGAAACTTCATCATTAGAAACTTTAAGAGGTTATGCTGTGTATTTAGTCCTGGCTGTGAAGCAGTTCCAATTCTTCCACATGCAGCAATACCTGCAAGTTGTCTTTACTGCAGCAAGTTAAAAAAGGTAACTGTATGTTTTGATCATAAAATGAGGAAAAAGGAATGCATCTTACCTGTACTAGGTAACAGCAATCCAGAAGTATAAAAAAAAAAAAGATACCTTTTTGACAGGATTCCTATGAGTCTTAAAAGGTAACACCCAATTTGTGTCATCAGACACTCACTTCAACATCTGGAACTTGCCAAGTGATTGTTATTTACAAACACAAGGATCAAAAAGGGAATGCAGAGGAAAAGTATAGGAACCACCAAGTACATCCTCTTGAACACCATAAGCAGCATCGTTCAAGACAATACATCTCTATCTTGGCATGCCTGTAGTACACATCTAAGGCACAACCCTAGGCAAGTGGCCTCTCGTCTCACAAGGAGAAAGCTTGCTTCTCCAGCACTAAATTCAAGATTCTTTGAACTCAAGAAAGTTCCTCAGGAATAAGAGGAAGAAATGCAGTATCTGATTCTTACATCAAGTTCAACCTCTCTTCACAATGTTTCCCAAAAATATTACTGATACCATTTCCAATGACATTGCAAACAGCCAAATTACATCTGGTGGTTGTGGGGTTTTTTTTTCTTGTATGGTTCTATGAATTGGAAGTAAAAATTCTTTCCAGTTACATGGAAAGATAGATAGACATTGTTCCCCAAATACTACCACAAAAGCTAGATACAAATAAGTATATGGCCATCCATCATCTACCACTATACCTTAAGCACCCACCAACATAGAAAGCCAAGTAGCTGTTCTACTTTCATGGTTATTAATATAAGCAAAACAGTTAATCTGGTTTTGAAAAAAAAAGGGCAATGGGTGTTTTAGGACATCAGTAGCTCTCCAGGGAAACGAGACAGGTCTTTGAGGAAGCTACCTCAATAGAATCTAAAAATACAGGAGAAATGATCCAACTAAATAGAGTTGTTCTCAACCTTTATTCAGTGCTAAAAGCTAATGCTTTGGAGAAGTATCCTCTTGGCTATAGCACCTTGTTTTTTTCAAGCTGACCTGGTGAAGTATTAAATTTACATACCAGGGAAGAACAGCCAGGACCTCATTTTCAAAACAGATTAATCCAAGGGTTTTGTGGTCTTTTTTGGCTTTAGCCTTAGGTCCCCAGAATTCAGAAATCTGTTCTTGCAAAAATTAGCAATATTAGCTGTAGCACGTAATACTCACACAGCTCTCATAATGAAGAATCTCTGCTTTAAGGCATAAAGAGGAAATTAGTGATTTCAAGAAGAAAGTGTTAGCATATCTGAAATTAAAGACCAACAGACAGATTTACCTTTGGGTCAAATACCAGTAGGTCTGCTGTGAGATCATATAATTCTGAAGTTTCTCTGTCAGTATTCAGACTGCAAAAAAATCTTGTAAAAGCTGCAGGAAGTTTATTTGTCTAAAAAATTAAGAGCTAAAGGGGATTTAGCAGAGGGTCTCAAATAGACAGAGACTGTGAAAAGGTACCAAGCATTTTGATAGGTTTGTAAAATAAAAAGAAAAAACCCCACCCAAAACAGAACACGTTGCACTCTGTCCTTTCGCTATCATTTCATCATAATTGGAAGAATAATGAGAAAGCCTAAGGGAATGGGCAAGCAACATATAAAACATTATGACAGTGATGACTGGACAGGATAATAGTAATTGTTTAAATTCAAGTCTATATTATTCGTTTTGGTGAATAAAAAACAAAGGCAGCAAAGCAACCTCTGGTTGCCAACTGGGATTGAGAAAATTCTTCTCAAACTGAAACAATATTCCCCTCCTCTCCCCGTGTCCCAGATGACACGCCACGCACTCACCTCCCGGGCGGCTGGCAAGAGGTTCCCGAAGCGCTGCCGGGGGGGCTGGCACTGCCCCGGCTCCACCTCGCCCCGCAGCACGGGCACGGGCGGGAGCGAAGCTGCGG